TAGCCCGGGGTGTTTCTTTAGCCTTTTTGAACCCTTTCTTTCCCCTTTTTTTATATTTTGTTCCCTTTTTTGCAAAGTTCAGGGCCTATATTAGCTAAATTTTCCGGGCCCGCGCCCCCCTTTTCCCCGTTTCCGGGGAAAATTCTTTTAAATTGAGGAAATTCCCTTCCCCCAATCCTTGGGGTTGGGCAGAGGCCCCTGTGGGGTCCCGGGCGCCCTTTGGAATTTCTTTTTGAATTTTCGTTCTAAGGGGACTTGGGTTCGGGGCCCCTTGTTTTTTCAATTTCGGGGGAACACATTGTTTTATACTTTTTTGCGTTTCACATTAATATTTTACTGAGCTTTCATCCGGATTTCCCGGTGTCTCACTGGCTTTCCCAGCTTTGACTCGCGCTAAATTCTTGCGCCCGTTTAATCGTTCTTAATTGAGCCGACAATTTGTCCATTTCGGCCATGCACAATTTTTTCGTCGAATTTGTAAATTACAAAATTCAATTGAATCCATTACTTTTATTGATTGATCAGTGTCTTTTTGAAACAAAAAAGTGTCAAATTAAATTTTTACTCTTGATGTCAATTATTTTATTCCCAAATTAACAACTTTCCACATTTATTAATCAATTTTTTCACAGTATTATTTCTAAAGAACGACCCTTTCCTATTAATTTTTCCGTAAATGACCTTGACCTTCACGTTTTCGTTCTCTCATGGAAAATCTGGTAACATGGTAGTTCAATAAAACTCAATTTTATGGCTTTGTGGCCAAGTGGTTAATGTTTAATGTGTAAGATAGCAGTTCTATCACAGATATTGTTTTGTTCTGGTGCAACAAGAAAATTATAAAATGTAAAAGATCCTGTAATGTCTTTCCATACGATGTAAGTCAATTATTTTCCTAGGTGCAATTATCTTTAGTAATTTAACCACATTAAAATAATGTTGTAACTTTTTAAAGAATTTAATATTGGTTAAAAACTTGGTTTGTCTATTTTATTTGTTCAAGATCTTTTTACTTTTAAAATTTATGATTTTACTAACTTGTATCTAAATTTAGTGAAATTTTAAAACCTAAACCAGTATTTACTTACTTGTATCTCCGGTTAGCTATTTTTCACTTTAAAAAACTTTTTGGTAGAAAATGAGTCTTTCAAATACATGTAAAAAAAAACAATGGTAAAGGATTAGTCCTTCTTTTTAATGCGTTTAAGCAATAAGCAATTGTCACTGGTAGCTTATGTTTTGAAATATATACTTGAATTGTAATAATGATTTATTTTGATAAAAAGCCAATAGTCTACATATAGTTACATGTAATTAGTACACAAGTAATAGATACAAATACAAATGTATTGTATTAGAGACATAAAGATAAAATATCTCAGATTATATTAAATGTGTGAATGGCTAATTGTGTGTTATATGGAATATATAGATTGCTAATAATGTGTTATATTGAATATATGGAATGCTACATTGTAATTGTGTGATATATTAAATATATGAAATGCTCACTATGTGTTATGTCTTGTGTAGTATAATAAATATATCAAAATAACATGGTGTTGTTGTGTTATTGATTTATGATGGTGGATGGATAAAGAAATTGTCATATTATCATTACCAGTTTTTTGTCACACAATTTAATTGCAAGTCAGAAATTAAACCACAAAGAAATGTGCATTATTTATCTCAGGAGATTGTACTGTTACACAATAGACCTCTAATAACTTGTCACATCTTCTTCTGATAACTTGTCATCACTTCTGCTGATAATTTCTCACATTTCCTTACATCTTCTTCTGTTAGCCTGTCATGTCTTCTGATAGTTTGTCACATCTTTTTTTCCTGTATTTTACAGCTGAATTGAGGATGTTTCCCCTAGCCCAAAGTAGGTATATTTTCCCCAAAAATGTTAATATTTTCCCTCAAAATGCCCTGTGCACATTCTTCACCAGAACCATGACAGAAAGCTGTTCCTATTACATAATTATAGCCTCTGTTAACTTATGTACCATGCATGTTAAATTGAATTGAAATTTAAAATTTTATAAAATGTGTGGGAATTCCATTCTCAGTGATTTATCATATGCTATATTTTCCCGTTCAGAAAGCCATAGGTTGTTCTGAAAATTAAAAAAAAAAATCACTGGTTCCATTTTTATTTTGTATTCATGTAGCCTTTGTAGGATAAAGTTCTAAGCCTTGAATTTTTGTGTAAAGCTATAATGATGTACACTGTAACTTTTACTTGCCTGGACTGGTATATGCACCATACCAAAATTAGGAAAGGTAATGTAAACATTGTATTGTACTATTTTCATTATATAATGAATTAGTCAAAATGAAAATGATGGTGTTTTGGATTTAAAAACATGAAAAGACAACAATGTATGTCAGACTGAGCTGTGCCTCCATAATTTGACTGCCAAACTAGATAGATGATTTCTGTTCTGTATAATATATAACATTCCAACGTAAACTTAATCAACAGATGAAGTATAACATTTATAAATATGTAAAAATATAATAGTGTCCCTGCTGGGCAAGGAGTTAACCAGGATCGAAAAACACCAAGAATAAAAAAACAACCTTTGCCTAAAAAATGATTTTCTGTGAATTCTTTCTTTTATTTGTTCTTAAATTAATTGTTTTTTGAAGCATTAATTAATTCACAAAATAAAACAAATTAAATTTATAATGTTGATTTTTATCTTTTATATGGTTCAGTTTGATTAAAATCAGCTCCTTAGTAACTGCAGTATATGAAATATACTTATAAATAAATATACTTATAAAATGAATACCCTGATTATAGTGATACCCGCTACACTACGCTTTAATATAACAAGCAACAGGAGACTAGCGCTGCTTTATCTTTTCATCTGATCATTTGCACTTGCCACCATTTTGTATTTTTGATCATTGAAAAAGGGTTTATTTTTGCCTGTAAAAATCAGTGTAAATATGAGAAATATAACCCATACTGTCATAAGATTTTAAATATCATTTAGCATTTAAATGGTCTTTACATGATTTAATAAAAATTTAGAAATGTATTGTTTTACAATAACGGCATAAATATATGATTTAAACTCTAAAACTATTGATTGATCGGTCGGACCCCAACATAAGATGGCTTCTGTAGTTGGTAGTTCCTTGTCCCGTTATATTATGTCCAAGATAAAATTGATACCCTGGTAAAACATAAGATGTTAAACTGTAATGATTTATTTAAAGACTTGTAATTTTGTCAAAAATATTAATTAATTATCACCAGTGACATATTTGTTGTTTGTTTTATAATTTGTCGTTTTGCTATCATATCAAATACTATGAATATCAAAGGTCTAATAAATTTGTTGGAACCATAGGCATATTATATATAAGTGTCTCATTTGTCTAGTCAGTAAAATTACAAAATTATTATTTATGGTATATGGGTGCTAGATAGTTACTTTATAATTTTACGATAATTTTGCTATTAGACAAGTAGAAAATATCAAATATTCTGTTCTGTTTTTTGTTTTTTTTTGAGGCCCCAACTTGGTAACCCTGTTTATTTACCCCGTAGTAGGTATGAGATGGTCGGGGTATGATCCCCCTCATACCTTACATTATTTATACATAGCATATCACATTGTAATATTTACAAACAAAATATCATAATATACCATAAATTTTATCATATTAACATTATAATTACATACATGTGAACTCTCCCACTTTAAGCAGGAGACTCCCACTTTTTGCAGGCATATTTTCAAAGATTTTTCTTAAAATAAGGGGTATTTTCACAAATTAAAGAAATCTCCCTCTTTTTGATGTCAGAACTTCCTTCTTTGTTTATTGCAAATTCTAAAATTTCCCTCTTTTTGAAGGAAAATCTCCCATTTGATCAACAAAAAAAGTTCACATATATGTAATTAAAGAATACAAACAGTCTATTTAACACATGTATGCAAGTTATTATAGAACGAAAACAAAAAAGAACCTAACATAAATATAGATAGCTTAAGGTCTTCATCGTACCCGTTTATATACTATGACAATCATGACATGATGAAAAACAAAAATGTTAAATAGCAGCTTATAAAGTTTTGGAAGCAAGAACTAAAATATAGAATGTCAGTGTAATTTATTCGATTAATATTTGCCATCTTTTAATTTCAGTGTCAGTCAAATTGGTATTTTTGTAATTTAAGGCTATTTTTAAAGCCATTACATGTGGGTAACAATTTTTTTCTCTTAGACAAATATATGTATTTTTTCAATTCTAAAAACAATATATCATATTCGAAACCCTTATCTTCAAAACCTATTCTGTTTTGTTGTGGTTTTTATTTGTTTGGGTCGTCAGACCAAACAAATAATGGTAGCGAAATTTCAGACCCTGCTGCTGTTAATTGCAAATGCCGAAAGTAGTCCGCTTTTTTGAAGCGGTAACTTCCCTTTATATGTACACTAACGCCAAAAAAATTCAGGGGAGATCACTGCGTAAAGATTGTCAAATGACAGGCGCATTAATTTTCCAGCAAAATATTTCCCGAATGATCGAAGATTTCTAATATTGTTTTAATCTTTAAAGATATACATGCTTATAGTAAGCTTCATGATTATTTACATTTGTATTAAACAACAGGTTTAGCGTCGAAATAATAAGTGTTACAAACCCAAATTTAGAATAATATGGTTTTCTTCAGGCCGTTAACATATAACTTCACCGTGGCCGAGGGGTTTGCACGCTCGCTTAGCAATCGAGAGGTCTGGAGTTCAAATCCCAGTTAAGGCAACTCCTTTTTTTTAAATTGTTTAAAGTCAAATAACAATTGAATTGAATATTAGTGTTGCAATTAGTCTTATAGCCAATTTACTACAGTTAAAACACTGGAAAGCATTGGTGGCACTATACAAAAACAAAATTGGTTTATAATCTCACAACCTTCACCTTTCTGACATTCTGAGACCCAAACAAATTCAGCGCCTTCTGTGCTTTGATTTTTTTTGACTGGTCTATATTGAGAGACGACAAAGATAAAAAGGTACATATTTAACCTGTACCCAACATGGCGAAGCATCATCCAGATCTTATTTTTTGCCGAAAACAACCAGGTGTTGGTAGGTATTTACGATATTAATTGAAGGATACATTAAAGAAACCAGTTATAAATATTGAATTTAGTAGTTTGTAGCTTACTGATAAAGTATCATAGCCATATTGCTCTCAAATTCGAAGTGGAGTTCTATTTCACAAATGGTTTTTAGTGGGTGGGGTGTGGCAGATAAACGTTTGAAACACGTAATTTTGTCAAACTCATTCGATGATGCTGATGAACTTTACTGTTTTATTTTTAGCTCACCTGTCACAAAGTGACAGGGTGAGCTTTTGTGATGGCTTTTCGTCCGGCGTCCGTCCGTCCGTCCGTCGTCCGTCTGTCGTCCGTCGTCCGTCCGTAAACTTTTGCTTTAAATGACATCTCCTCATAAACCACTGAGCCAATTTCATCCAAACTTCACAGGAATGTTCCTTTGGTGGTCACCTTTAAAAATTGTTCAAAGAATTTAATTCCATGCAGAACTCTGGTTGCCATGGCAACCGAAAGAAAAATCTTTAAATATCTTCTTTTAAACAACCCTAAGAGCTAGAGCTTAGATATTTGGCATGAAACATATTCTAGTGAGTGTCTACCAAGTTTGTTCAAATAAAAGCCCTGGGGTCAAAATTGGCCCCGCCCCAGGGGGTCATTGATTTTCCCTATATGCATATAGTAAAAACTTAAAAAATCTTCTTTTAAAGAACCCAAAGAGCTAGAGCTAAGATATTTGGCATGAAACATCTTCTAGTGGGTGTCTACCAAGTTTGTTCAAATAAAAGCCCTGGGGTCAAAATTGGCCCCGCCCCAGGGGGTCATTGATTTTCCCTATACGCATATAGTAAAAACTTAAAAAATCTTCTTTTAAAGAACCATAAGAGCTAGAGCTTAGATATTTGGCATGAAACATCTTCTAGTGAATGTCTACCAAGTTTGTTCAAATAAAAGCCCTGGGGTCAAAATTGGCCCCGCCCCAGGGGGTCATTGATTTTCCCTATATGCATATAGTAAAAACTTAAAAAATCTTCTTTTAAAGAACCCAAAGAGCTAGAGCTAAGATATTTGGCATGAAACATCTTCTAGTGGGTGTCTACCAAGTTTGTTCAAATAAAAGCCCTGGGGTCAAAATTGGCCCCGCCCCAGGGGGTCATTGATTTTCCCTATATGCATATAGTAAAAACTTAAAAAATCTTCTTTTAAAGAACCATAAGAGCTAGAGCTTAGATATTTGGCATGAAACATCTTCTAGTGAATGTCTACCAAGTTTGTTCAAATAAAAGCCCTGGGGTCAAAATTGACCCCGCCCCAGGGGGGTCATAGATTTTCCATATATGCATATAGTAAAAACTTAAAAATCTTCTTTTAAAGAACCCAAAGTGCTAGAGCTAAGATATTTAGCATGAAACATCTTCTAATGAGTGTCTACCAAGTTTGTTCAAATAAAAGCCCTGGGGTCAAAATTGGCCCCGCCCCAGGGGGTCATTGATTTTCCCTATATGCATATAGTAAAAACTTAAAAAATCGTCTTTTAAAGAACTCAATAAGCTAGAGCTAAGATATTTAGCATGAAACATGTTCTAATGGGTGTCTACCAAGTATGTTCAAATAAAAGCCCTAGGGTCAAAACTGGCCCCGCCTGGGGGGGTCATTGATTTTCCTTATCTGTGTATAGCAAAAACTTAAAAATCTTCTTTGAAAAAACCCAAATAGCTAGAGTTTAGATATTAAGCATGAAACATCTTTAAGTAAATATCTACAAATTTTGTTCAAATAAAGGCCCGGGGGTCAAAACTGGCCCTGCCCCAGGGGTGTCATTGTTTTTAACTATATGTGTATAGTAAAAACTTTAAAAATGTTTTAAAAAACCCAATGAGCTAGAACTTAGATGTTTAGCATGAAACATCTTCTTATGGGTGTCTACAAGTCTGTTCAAATAAACAAATAAAAGCCCTTGGGTAAAATTGGCCCGGGGTGGGGGGGGGGGGGGCCTATATACAGGTGAGCGACCTCAGGGCCATCATGGCCCTCTTGTTTAACTAAAAGGCCATATTCGGTTTTTTTTTTTTTCATTTGCTTTTGTATGTCAGGATTTTGGGTAGGGGTGTAATTGATTCCATCGATATCGGTGTATCAACGATCTTTGTTATCCGATTCAATACCGATCCATTTCTTATGTATCAGATATCGAATGCACACATATTTCTAGCTAAAAAAAAAAATACTTCAGCAAACAGGTTTTATTGTACTGATAGACCTGTTTACTGTTGCTAAACGTCAAAATAAAAGCGACATATACTTATATAGTTATGGAAGCCAGAACTAACATATTTCAAACCTTTTCTAAACAAAAACGGAAATCAACACCAAAGTTACCTCCCAGTGTCTCTACAGTAACAAATGCTGCCGAATTTCGTTGTAATCTAGCATGTCAGCTAAGCGCGTGTCAAGACTGCCCAATTCAGATTTTAAAAAGGGAAAATGCCATGAAAATTTTCGTCAGTGTTTCTTTGTAAAAATTTAATTATTATGATTACAAAATGTTAAACTTTAAAAATTATTCAGGTTTTTGCCTATTAAACCCCGGCTTACTTGGAACGGCAATGACAGCATTTAGCATATTCATTACGGATATATCGAAACAAAAATCCTTATGGATGACACCTCTAATTTTGGATTTATTTAACATCTGACATTTAGCAATCAGATTCTCAGTTTTCAAGGCTGTTTAGATCTTTTGCATCTTGGGTTGATTTAATTGTAAGATATACTTTGCCCTTAACACAGTCAGGGGAGATAATTTATATAAGATAAGAATTTAAGGCAAGGTTCCAAAACTGAGTCTTGAGGGACACCAGTGACTGGGAAAGAACAGGAAGATTGTCAGAGTTATGACCATCAACAGCATAAGTATATAAGCATATAAGTATGACCTTGTCCATGTGATGACCTCAGAGTTGACACATAATCTCTGTAGATAAAGGAGAAGTTTGTGATGGTCGCCTTTATCAAATGCTTTACTGAATTAGTACAATGAAAGATTAATGCTACGTCATGACACTAACTAAAATGAAATTTGTCATCTTACATAGGAGATAATTTGCACCTTAGTGCAGTAACTGGTTAAGTCCTTAATTTTACAGGAGTTAACCAGTTATTGCACTAAGCCTTAGGTGACAATATGGGATTATGTCCGTTTAATTGATACCACTTCCATGTTATAAAACTAGGCAGCAATGGCTGGGCAATATTCACCAAGGATATCGGAATGCGGATATGGTTACAGTCTATAAGTAAAATCAAGTTTAAAACATTTTTTTTTTTTTTGATTAATGGTACTTGTATAATTTGTTCTTCTATTCTATCATTGCGTAATAAAATTTTTTCTTTTAAGTTAAGATACTACAAAATTTGTTAATATATTTGTGTGAGGCATAGATATAACTATATTGTTCACTGGGGGGTGGGAGGATTTTGTTTGACACCGATGCATAAATTGTACTGCACCAACATGTATAGTTTCAATATGGCTGACTACGGATGAAAAGAACAACGTTGAAAAGTTAAATCAGAGCATTCTGATAAGTAATGAAGTGATTTTAAAACTGTTTTTTGTTGATTGAATAAAAGTGTAATTTTCCTTGCATTGCATTTATATACTAAGTTCTATCAGAAAGCCTTGAATTTCCCCCTTGAACCCAAATACTGTAAATCAGTCATACTTTCTCCTTTCCACTGCTTTACAGCAGGAGAAATGTCAGTTAGATCCATGCAGCCAGCCAGTACTTGAATCATCTAACATGCTGGGATTTGAACCTTCTATCAAGCCTGACATTGAACCATGCATTGAGTCTGACACTGTTCCTGTTATATTTGTCTCTCCTGCATCTTTTTTCTTATTGTTGTTTTCATAGTGCAAAAACTTTAATGTACATGTAGCTCATTACTCAAACATTTTAAAAGATACTAACATGAAACTTGGTGTTTACTTGCTTATCATGACAAGGTGCAGTTGTAAGACAATGGGCTTAATTCTGGAAGCTATATTTTTCAGAGTTATGCCCCTTATTGACTTAGAATTTATGTCAAAATCGCTATTAAGTAGAATGATTTTAAAACTAAGAAATGTATCAATACGCAATATAAAACTTGGAATGGGGGGGGGGGGGGGGGGGGGTGAGGATTACTTGATTTATGTAGACTAATGTAGGAAAACACATTTAAGTTAAGTTTCATTGTGTGAAACTACATAGTCTAGAGCTTAGATGTTAATCATTTAGCATTGACTTATTGACCTTTACAAAACTGATACAGTTGTGTGAAACTGTGATGCCCAGAGCTCAGATATTTGGCATGTGACATCACATTTTGGACCACAAAATAACTGGTATTATTCATACCCAGCAACTGTTGGGGACCACCAAAACCGGACAACCATCAAACCCGGACGGCCCCGAAAATGCTTAATTAAAATATTTTTCTTTGTTCATTGGTTGTCGATCTATCAGTCACTTTATAACAACAATAAATGCATGTTTCTTCTATAATTAAGAAATTAAATTTATTTCAACGGTAATATTTTAATGTCTATTTCAAGAATGTTGACATTGAAAATTTGGGGGTTAAGATGGCAATACCTGACCTCAAATACCAGCTATAATCATTTGCACAGTAAACAATAGAATATCCAAAACGTCAGCATTTGGTGCTGAAATATTGTATATCATGTTAAAAATAAAAAATTAAAACACCCTAGCATTTAAATGAATTAAATCACTTCATGTACATATCTGTGCGGACACATGGTACTGTAGTGTAGACAATTAAGGTAATTTTGATACCTTCCTTGACAAGCCTCAGATATAGTGTCAATATAATCAGAAATAAACAAATCAGTTTGTTAGTTAGGAGAAGAACCTAGCTGTACTGTCTCAAATTATCAGGTCTCTAGGTTTGAAATTATGAAATCTTTATGAAAAAATGTTCAAAAAGTGTCCGGTTGATGGTCCCTGACCAGTTATACAGTTTTGTTTCGAAAAACACATTTAAGTCTTATTTTGGTGAAACTACAATGCCTAGAGTCACTTGATTTATATAAACTTATATATGAAAACACATTTAAGTCTTATTGTGTGAAACTTCAAAGCCCAGAGCTTAGATATTTGCAATGTCGCATCAATTTGTAGATTTCTATAAAAGTTATAATAATCATGACCTTGTGTCAATATTGGCCCTGCCCTGGGAGTCACTTGTTTTATGTAGACTAAAGTATAGGAGAACACATCTATTTATGGATAAATACTATGTCTCAACATTTAGCATATAACATTGACTAGTAGACCTTTTTAAAAGTTTTATGAATCATACACTTACTGCTAACTAGAAATATGCCAGTCTACTGATGTACAGCAGAAAGTATGACAGACAGACAGATGAAAGAAATTATACATGACTCCTCCTACACCTTAGTGGTTTCGGCATAAAAATGACATCCAATTTTTAGACATCTTGAGTAAAGACAGATGGGCAGTCAGGTCATTAAAGTGTATGATGTAATTGGATAACTATGTTGCGTTTTATTTTAGAGGATTAATTGTTTTGTTTTGTAGTTAATTATTATTTGAATATTCCGTCTGAAATGCCAATGCGTTAGATTTAAGTCAAGAATCTTCTACAAATGTACCTTTAAACACTGTCTATGGTAATAATTAAAACAACAATTTCTGTTTCTTAAAAAAGATAATAAGTCACTTGTGTGCATCCTTGCTGTCATAAAATCTGAAATACTTGCTGAATATAGATGACAATTACTGCTGGGAGGCTTAACCTCAGACTTTCAGACGCAAAGAGTTTACAGTGTTTATGTTTCCTATTGCCATCTAAAAATGTGAACAGAATGGAATTTATCTGAATCGTACCTATCAACAAACTTTGGAAAGACTCATAGGGAAACAACCAAATGTACTTGTTAATGCACATATTTAGTAACGTTTACCCTGCTAGAACTAAAAGTAACCAGTATAGAACCACGCAAGGCTTCCTACACATTCATGCAGTCTGACCAGGCCCTATAGTGTTGGCTGACTAATATATTTCCATCTGATCTTGATATCCCCCAAATTAATAATGGATAGTTCCAAAAATTATAGCTGGACAAGTTCATTTAATAAGAAATTCAGCTGGTTAATGGTTAATTATTACATTTAAACTGTCTTTGGTATATTTAACACATCAGAGACATAGATATAGGTTTAATTGTGTACATAATATGTAGAAGTCGTTTTTTGTAGAATTACTATACACATGTACATTGTATCACAATGTAATAGCACTAATGGGAGATAATTTGTATGATTATATATTTTAAACAAATTAATAGATTTCTCTCCCTTTAATATTAGTTAAAATAACTTAATGTTTTCCTTTCTTTTTTTCAGCTATCGGGAGACTTTGTGAAAAATGTAAGTATGAAACTATTAAATGTATTGTTTCATTTTTGGTAAATTGCTTCTTTTTTTGTAAAGATTAAAGATCTATGATTGGGTAAAATTGAAAGGTCTGTTTTGATTCACCTTGTGTGTGTTAAATATATTCTATTATATCTCCCTATATCTGACTATCTGTATTTGTCCTGTGAGGACCAAGAAATTTGCATATGATATCACCTATGGCAACTGATAATAGTAATTGGTTTTCCGTGTTGAATAAGGGAAATGATGTAATCATCTTGTATATAAGGTAAATTGCATGGAAAAGAATAATGCTCCTTATAGCATTACACTGTAAATTTGATGAATGAAGATAGATGTTAAATATCAGTTATATGTGTACTTCCTACAACATTTTGACGCTTATAATGAAAATAAATGGTAATTTTGTATGTTCTTCTGTGAATTATTCATAACAAGCGTTAAATTTCAGCCAAATTTGTAACCTTGTCAGTATGTTTTCAGTTCAGGACAGTTTTAAAACAAATACTTGTACATAAAAAAAATTATAACCCTATTTGTTAAGATATGAATACTGCAGACTTTTTAACAACTGTCAAATAAATGTCATTTCAAAGAGTTGTTTTCATTTAAGCATTAGTTTGTTTAGATTTTTAGGCCTATATCTTAAGGTTTCTTCACATTCCTGATCTAAAAATAGAGATTATAAAATGTTGATATATACATAATATAAACCATACTGTCTTAGAGAGGTTTAAATTCACATAGGATTAAGTCAATTCTAAGAGCATTGTATTTTATACTTTGAAAGGTCCTTGTGATGTATGATAAAGGTCACATAAAAATTGAAAATGTTAAAAACAATACATGAGATAGTGTTATACTACTCGTATTTCATTCCCCTATCCACTGATTTTATGGGGAAAAAAATTGTGAAAATAAATTGTGGCAACTAGGTTTATCCCTCCAGTCTGGTTTGTAACACAGGTGGCAGTATCAGTGTTTGGACACCCCACCCCTATCTGCCCCTGGACCCCTACTACAACCCTGAAAAAAAAAATTCAACACTCTAAGGCTTACTAAAAGGTACCAAATACAAAACCACCGATGAAATTATATGTAAAAAAAAAAATTCCACTATCAAAATTATAGTTATAGAAAGGTGAAAAGCCTACTATATGTTCATTTGCCAAACAATGTGGAACACGGGAAATCGTCGTTTCGGTGATTGAGGCGCATTCCGGCAGGATTTCGCTGCATCAATCATTAACATTAATAAAAAGAACTAGAATTCCACAGCTTATCTAATTCAAGTCTAACGAATATCACTATCATTCCGATTTTTTCTTTTTCGTGGTATTTTTTGAATTGTCGTAGCCATTTTGCAGTCTGATACCTGGGTTGAAATACGCAATCTGATTGGACGAGCCAAATTTGACGTCCAATCAGATCGCGTATAACACACAGGTATCAGAATCCAAAATGGCAGCGACAAGTCAAAAATTACCGTGAAATAGAAAAAATCGATAGAATATTGATATTCGTTTAACTTGAATTAAGTAAGCTGTGGAATTCAAGTTCTTTTTATTGATGTAAATGAATGATGCAGCAAAATGCCTTCGGAATGCGCCTCAGTCGCCGAAACGACGATTTCCCGTGTTCCACATTGTTTGGCAAATGAACATATAGTAGGCTTTTCACCTTTCTATAACTATAATTTTGATAGTGGAAAATTTTTTTTTATATATTATTTCATCGGTGGTTTTGTATTTGGTACCTTCTAGTAAGCTTTAGAGTGTTGAATTATTTTTTTTCAGGGTTGTAGTAGGGGGCAGATCCAGGGGGGTGGGGTGTCCAAACACTGATACTGCCACCTGTGGTTTGTAATAGGCATACATGTTTGTAAGGTCAGACATGGTCCTGAGTAACCATTAACTTGATCAAGCTACACCTATCTTACAAAATCTTCTTCTTTGATTATTGTCATTTCTTTACAATGTTTATGGTTTCTGGTTTGTTAACAGACTGATTGCATCTGCATCAAACTAAAAAATCTTTATTTTCTTTTTTTTTCATTTATTTAAGTTTACACTCTATATTGCCCCCTTGTTTCTATGTTTTGTCTTTTACAAAAGAAAAAAATACAACTCATATTTTGTTGTTTGTAGGTGATGGGAAGTGTGTGATATGTGACTCATATGTGCGTCCGTCTACGCTGGTGCGTATTTGTGATGAGTGTAACTATGGTTCGTACCAGGGTCGCTGTGTTATATGTGGAGGACCGGGGGTGTCAGACGCTTACTACTGCAAGGAATGCACAATCATGGAGAAAGATGTAAGAAATTACAATGTTCCATCTGATGTTATTATTCTCAGGGACTTAGCACTTTCTTGAAATAAATTTAATTGGTTGAAATATTTAGACTTTGCTTAGCTGGTTTTAATTTTACAGTGGTAGAAATAAGACAGTTAGGAACAGTAAATTTTATTGAACTATAATAACTTCCACTAATTTGAGTAATTTCAGTTTTGTGAAAATGTGAACTAATTGAATGCTGTATTTCGAAACAATTACATTCTGAAATGAGACAATTGGCTGAGAAACATGTAGACAGTTATAAACTATGTTTGTTTTGGCAAAGATGACATTTTAAATTATTGAGCTACATGTAGACTAGAGAAAATGTTACAAATGTAGAAATATCAGACAAAAATAAGTCAGCTGGTTTAACCTTTACTTACTTAAATTTGTGTGTTAAACTTGTACTTCATATAATATTATGTTAGTACATTGTGTTGCCCATTGCTAATTTAAGAGGTTTTAATGTCAAAATTTTGGCTTAAGTCATGCATCCAACTATTATATATTGTAAAATTGAACGGATGTAGAGGTCCTGGACACATCTAAACTTGACATTATCATATAAAGACCTAGAGCATTAGAGAGCATTTAGTGTGTACTAGTGTATATAGAAAGTGACATCACTTATACATGTAGTAAAACTAAAACTTATATAAACAGAGGTACAATTATAAAGACATAACAGTCTGTAACCATATACTTAAATAACCATTAATACTGGTATCCATCAGTTTCGGTAGTGTCCAATTTCACTAGTATCTATAATTTTGTGAAATGTGTAATTCACATTTGATACTGTGATACTATTATATCATCACATCAACCTGTTACAACAAAAACTGTAAAATAAACTGTTGAAAAAGAAAAACTAAGGTGAAAAATTTGGGGGCGGGGGGAATTGTAATCAAATGCATGATTTTAGGAAGTTTAATGGGAGGGGAGTAATGCATGATTCTTGGAAGTTTAATATCTTACTACACATCTTAAGATCATGGTGGTAACATGCCTAATTTTATCACATCTTAAGATCATGGTGGTAACATGCCTAATTTTATATTGGTTCCTATTTGACCTTTAGCACAGGATTTGTGTATGGACTTTCACTGATCAGAAAAGACAATCGTTTATAGGGGTTAGATTCATAAGACTATAGATGATAACAAAAATGTACCAGAAGCTTACCTTTATCTCTTTGCAATCAGCAAAATTGTGATGGTTTTTGGCTCTCGTCAATGTCAATATATTATTATTTGTTGGGATATCATTACAGTCATAATAAAGTGAAGCATAATGGCAACATAAAGATCGGCCCTATGCTCAATTCTAAAAAAGACAGTATCACCTATATAATGTCACCAAAGTAAATGAAAGTTTGTAAAGTAAAGGTCTAAATCTCTAACTGAATGTGTATATATGTATATATATGTGTATATATGTATATATAATTATATTCTTTGTTTACAGAGAGATGGGTGCCCAAAAATTGTCAATCTAGGCAGTGCAAAAACAGACTTGTTTTACGAGAGAAAGAAATACGGATTCAAGAAGAGATGAAGACATGAAATCTCCAGGATATATCACCAGTGGAATTTCTTTTTTAAGATTTCAGGCAGCAATTGATAGTGTTTGTTACTGTCAGCTTTTTTAAAGTGTACATTACAAGGAAAATGATATCAAACATATTAAAATAGCTGTGTTCATAAATGTTTATAGAACAGACAAGTACAGATAATTATCATGAGGCTGTTGTTTTTTTTTCAAGTATATTATTTTATCAAAATAGTCAGCATTGATATTGAAAGTGTCGACATGCAGCAATAGTGTCTAACAAACAGTGTTTGGTGTATAACAGAGACGGAAAAATGCCTTAATCTTCATGAATTTTAAACATTGATTAAGCCATAAAAATGTTTTAATTTCTATTTTTTCAAAAACTGTTTTTGATTTCCTTTAGAGTTTTAAAACTCTTATACAGCTGAGCTATGTTTAGATTCTATAGCATTTTTGTGTCGCCTCTACGGAGTAGTGGCGACATATAGGGATCACTTCTCCGTCGTCTGTCTGTCCGTCTGTCTGTCCGTCCGTCCGTCTGTCCGTCCGTCCGTCACAAAACTTGTCCAGACTACCCCTCATAAACTACTGGTGCAATTTCATCCAAACTTTACAGGAATGATCAGTATCAAGTCTAGTTGTGCATATTGTCAGCATTTTCCGGTTCAATGATTTTTGTCAGAGTTATGGCCCTTTAATAATTTTTAATTTCAAAGTTTGTCCGGACTACTTCTCTTATACCACTAATGCAATTTCAATGAAACTTTACAGGATTGATCTGTAGCTCAAGTCCTTGCGCATATTGCAAGGGTTTTCCGGTTGAATGATTTTTGGCCGAGTTATGGCCCTTTGATAAAAAGGTGTTTTTTTCTGTGTGTTGCCAGATACACTATAGCTTGTCCGGACTACTCCTCATAAACTACTGGTGCAATTTCATCCAAACTTTACAGGAATGATCAGTACCAAGTCTAGTTGTGCATATTGTCAGCATTTTCCGGTATAATGATTTTTGTCAGAGTTATGGCCCTTTAATAGTTTTTATTTTAATGTTTGTCCGGACTAGTTCTCTTATACCACTTATGCAATTTCAATGAAACTTTACAGGATTGATCTGTAGCTCAAGTCCTTGCGCATATTGCACGGGTTTTCCGGTTGAATGATTTTTGGCTGAGTTATGGCCCTTTGATAAAAAGGTGTTTTTTTCTGTGTGTTGCCAGATACGCAAAAGCTTGTCCGGACTACTCCTCATAAGCTACTGGTGCAATTTTATCCAAACTTTACATGATTGATCAGTACCAAGTCTAGTTGTGCACTGTCCGTCTGTCTGTCCGTCTGTCACAAAATTTGTCCCAACATGAAATTGGCCGTTATGAGGCGACACATGTGATTACTGATCGCTCTTGTTATAATAAATAAAGTCAAAGTGGTTTTGTATGGAAGTCAAAATACCAATTTGTTTACATTTTGTTACCTTCATCAGTTTATGGCAAGTTATTTCACTTCCAGCGCTTCTCTGTCCAGATGAAAAACATCTGATACCATTATTACACATGAGAAATCCATTATTTCAACTCTATAAAACACATGTCTGTCTTATATTAAGGAGAATATAAACATTTATCTCTAAGGCATAGTGTAGCGTTATAAAAATGGTTATTTCATTCATGAAATAGTTTTAGGAGATTGGTTTTATCAAATTTTCAATTGGCAATACTATAAAATACAAAGAAATATGATATTTACACTATTTAAATGGCTGTAACATAGCATAATGTATTTCTGCTAACAAGGTTAAAGAGAATGTTACAAGAAATGTATCAAAATGGTATCATTTCCATTTTATGATAAGAAAATATGCTTACAATTTCCAACTCATAAACAATATATGATTGTATTATTTTAATAATATTGCTGCTATTTTAAGAATTACATTAACAACATGACATTGAAGTTAATTAGTGTGTCAAAACAATGATAATTGTCTCCTAATGTTCTATGTACTACTGTTGTAGATATTTTAAATGATATGTAAATAAATCATCCTTTTATAAAGATGGGTTTTTCTTATTAATGTGTTTCAAAATAGATTATTTCAAAGTTCTTTAAGAATTTCAAATGATAGCAGTTTATTGAGAAAAGATATTTTGTTAGAAATAAGTCAAAGAACTGACCTCTTGTTTTGAACTTCCCTTTAAAACTATTTTCAGCAACAAATTATCTATAAAATAATCAAAATCTACTTAGTTTATTAAGAAAATTTGTTAATTTTGGTTGTGGTTAAGTTTCAATATAAAGAAGTTGTAAAATTTGTTGGATACTAAATATTGAATATCACTAACCATGTGTAGGAAAAGTTCAACTAATGGTTCTGCTGATTTGTTCCTAGAATCATGCATGGATTGGCAAGAAAGTTGCCTAACAATTAAGGTTAAAAACAACAACAACAAAAATGTTTGACCATTATATTACTTGGATGTCATGAAACTCAATAAAAAGAAGAAAAAAAACTTCCTCTCATCTCAAGCCAGTTCCCATCTGCTTTAAGTCATTACATATTTCAAATCTTAAGAGGTGGCCCTGTGAAAGAGCATCTGCCTTGTATATAGGAGGTTGTTGGTTAAACCCACTGTCCAGTTAAACTACAGATCATTCTTAAAATGGTACTGGTAGCTTTTACTTGACTGCATTAAAGTTTATAATGTAGATTCTTATGTTATGAACTTGTAAATTGTATTATTAAAAATTGCTGTCCATTCTTCAAATCTTGTTACCTATTGTTTTACTGATGAGCTCCACATTTGACAAAATTGAGGCATCTTAGGAATTTTATTCTGACCAGGTTTTATGCTTATTTAAAAACCATTATACATCATAATGTATTTTGCAATCCAGACTTGAGTCCTTATTTTCAAGGTCAGACATACCAAATTAAATGTGAGAAACAAAATCTGAATTGTAGACTGCATATATAGAAATCATGTCAACTTTTTTTCTCAATATTTAGTGCTAAAACATGTTTATGCTATTATAATTCTATAGCCACAGCTTGTATACATAAAGTGACAGGCTGTTTATCAAGGTGTAAAATCTTATCTACCGGTATATAGAAAACAATAATGCCTTTCAACAATGTTTGATTTTAATGATATTTTGTCCATAATTATTATTATAAAAGATGACTCACTAACAGTAAATTAAAAGACTTGGTAGAATACTTCAGAATGTCAATAGGCTCGAATCTTGCCAGAGATTTTTGACTGTTTCATGTGAGGCAGCTATCCAGCTAGCTTAATATTTTAGGTCAGTGGTACTACATGCAAACTGCCAGTATCTGAAAATAAAGAATGGAGGGCACCTGAGATATTCCTCAATTACAATGGCGAGGAAACTCATCATATGACCTATATATACATTCTTGTTGTGACTTAAAACAATACCAAAAATACCTTTTCTCCACCAGTAATGGACATCAATGTGTCAAATTATTGTAAACTCCCAACTTGTTCATTCAGCAGTGTCTTTATCAGCTCTATGCCAACTTCAGGTAAAAGTGTTGTCTACTGATAAGGTTTTCAATGGTAAATTTATTATTCATAAATTATAAAATTGTGACAACTTCTTAATTGTTTCCTCTCATAATGTTTAATGTCTCTTAATGTATAAGGTATATATTGATTTTGTCTTGTCTAGCTGTTATCAGAGTTATATTTGGAATCATGGTTAAATACATGTATTAGAATTTTTAAAAGTAAATCTTCCATGTTTTTCCTGAATACATTGGAGCCACGGTGTGACTTATTTCACAACTTCAATCAATAAAGGGTTGGGTTTTTTGTTGTTTGATTGTTTTTTTTTTGGTTTTTTTTTTTTTTTGGGGGGGGGGGGGGGGGAAGTTGCTTGTAACAAAGTTTTTTACTTTTGACTGTATTAATGCATTGGAAGCCAGCCTTTACTTTTTACATGATGGCATACTTCTTTAATGCATTGATTTAGTTTATATTTAATGTAGTTTATATTAATTTTCATATTCATAATTTCTTTCCGTATTCTGATAAATATGCAAGAAAAAGATGTAACACCCACTTGTTACAGACAGGAATATCTAGCTCTCAGGTAACTGTTAAGCAGAAACTTGGCAGAATGATATTCTGGTCTGTACTGGCACCGGGTGTAAGATCTTTATTATAAGTTGTTTGTTCTTCGTACATACCATTTAACACATTACTAATGTCATTTGTTTCTGAGAAATGAAACAGCTATCATTCAATCTTACCTGTGCTTCTTTCTTAGCAATATCTTTATGTTTATGACAAGTAACCAGCATATCATATTATAATATAAACCTGATGAAAAATGAAATACCTTAAATAAAAAAATGTTTATTAAACTTAATTGTCAAAGAAAAAAAAAGAAAAAAATGCCATGTGCCACACTCGGGTGATTCTGAATGATCTTTCTTTTTGTTCCAAGTGATCGTTGTTCTGAAGCTGTTGATGTGTGAAATGCATTATTAGGACTGTCTTGCTAGACAAAATGAGATTTTCTTTGGTAATCTATCATAATCTGTCATTCTTGTATGCAGTAAGCATGGAATTTGAATGAGAAATCGAAGAATTTTAATAGCATTATATTAAATTAATCAGTGAATTTGCAATTTACTGATTAAACTACTAGTGTTATGAAATGAATTATTAAATATTAATCATAAAAAGGAAGGATAACAAAATTTCTTGTAACGAAAGTTGATTTTTTAAGTAACACATAATTTTTGGTCTTATTAATAGTTTTATATTTGTTTGCTTTGATTTTCTGTCACAGTGTATTGGTTTAGGTCATTCTGCAACTTTTATAAGTGTTGTCTTTTATAAGTGGTGACCTGTGTTAAGCCTTTATGCATTTTGGTCATGAGCGGGATGGTCAGGGTGGAATCACCACTCTTTTGTAAGCAACCTGGATAGTTTCTGTTTAGAAAGAGTTTATTGTCCCCAGAGACATAGATAACATGTTATCTACATCTCTGTTGTCCCTAAGCTTTTACTAAAATTAATCTAACATAGATGAGGGAGACAGAAACTTACTGTAGGCCAGTCCCCTCTTAAATATTAATTATTGTTTATTTACAGTTCTACAAACAGATCATTTAAGAATCATAGCAGATACTAGGGATGATCCAAATATCTAGTATATGATAGACAAAAAAATATCACCTACTTGTTTTATGCTTCCAATTTTCATTTGTGTCAGTATATGATATATACTGAAACAAATTATGATTTGTATTTAATGAATTGATATTGCTAGGTAACTTTGGCTAGAACAAAGAGAGTGGTCAATTAACTCTATATGATCTACAAAACAATGGATTGGAAATTAATGCTTGGTTTAATACCTCATCATTTACAAGTGATGGATAAATCAATAACTTAACCTGATACCCCAGACACTTGCATGTGTATAGAGAATCTATGACAGAAAAAGCAAATTAATTATTGACGATATTGTATGGTTCTTTAAGTTGATGGCGTGTGGAGGTGTAAAATTGTGTCAATGATAATTTACTGTTTCTACTTCATGCTTGCTTCAACGCATTTGTGACTTGGACAACCATGGTTAATAATTGATTAATTCAAGATTCTGATGACATTTTTTGCTTACAGGTACATGTAGACAAACATATTTATTATTAATATTATGCCCGCCAATTTGTGCATGCCTCACTGAAGTAAGAAATCTAGTACTTACCAGTAAAAAATAGATGCTGGTACAAAATATACACTGACAATGGTTGAAACAGCAGCCCTACTAGTAAAAAGGATATCTGAAGCAATTTGTCATTAAAGCACAAAAAAAAACAAAAAAAAACACCTCTGCCTTTAAAGTTACTTCTTGCTTTTGTGAAAATGATTTATAAACAAAATGGAAAACTGCCTGAACAATAACTATTTAGGTGTGTCTCTAATTGAAACATTAAAGCGCAAAATTAGATAGTTAAAGAGCGAACTCTTTCTTCTTGCCATTTAATTATAAGGTAAATAGTTCAATGTCTTCTAATGGTTGAAATGATGTACTATTAAAGAGGCAAAAGAGATTCTGGTTGCGACCACTCCCTGATGTTACTGTGGTAATATTTCTTTTGGCTTTAATCAACTGATTTATGCATCTATAAAATTAACAGTGATGAATTAAATGACCAAAATGGAAGAAATAACTTGAAAGGAATTGCATGAAACTGTTATCCATCACAACACCTTTTTTCAGATGCAACACCCTGCAAATATTATCTGATATTGTCCTTTATTCAAATTGCAGAAAACCATTAGAGAGCAGAGCACTATTCATCAACAGAAGAATAAAAGCTAGACCTTTTAAACTCTTTTTTTATATAATGTAAAAAGAAATGTAGACATTAATTGAATGTGGTCTAGACAAGAATTATTCAGATTGTAATGTTTTTATTAACAACATTAAGAAGGTTTGTACATCAGCCTAATGTTAACATTCATCTACCAGCAACCTAACTGCATTACAAATTTTGTAACACATTGTTAATTGCCTACCTTTTACTTTTATGTTGAATATACAGCTGTTTATCTAGAGCACAATAGTAATCAACATTATGTTTATCCTTTTTGTATAAAGTTCATCATTGCTCAGTGTGCCTGTGGCTGAGTGGTTAAGGTTGTTGTCTTCAAACCACTTGCCTCTCACTGCAGTGGGTTCGAATCCTGTCTGAGACTTTGGATTCTTTCGTGTGAGAAAGTTATCTGGCTAGCTTACAGAATGTCAGTGATTCAACATTTTCAATTTTGCCATTTTGGGCATTTTTAGTGATTTTATGTTTCTCACCTTCTGTTACCTTTATAATTTCTAGTATTTAAAAGTATAAACCAAAAGACATACCCAAGGTCTGCACTCTTTCATATGTGGCTGAAGGGCAAATAATCAAACATCAGAAAAGGTGAGTTAACCATTAAAATGGATTTGTCCACCTTCCATTTCAGGAAATTTCCTTTAACAATTTCGGGCTATCATGATGAATATTTTAGGAATATTTACAGTTTATTAGCTGACAGTATAGAACCTGGTATTCATGCAGGCTGGCCTGGCAAAGACTAATCTTTTTGTTTTCTAGAAGGTTTTTAAGATTAATTGGTTTGCACCTTCACATTGACTTGAGACATCCCTTACAGCACACTAGTTCTGTAAAATAGTCTTGTTCCATTGTAAGTTTAAGCTAGGGAAATCAATACTTAATAAGCTAACAAATAACGTTTATTTAAACTATAAAGAAATACAGACTGGCCAAGCCCAGTACTGGTGGTATAAACAAATCATTACCTTGGTAAGCATTCTAAGCTTTAAAAATCAACAAGGTCGTACATATACCTGTCCAACTAATCCAAACAAATGTCATTACTGTGGTTAACTAGCTAAATGTTTGTCTATTTTATGACTGAAAAAAAGGTATATGATGACCATATAGTGACCTCTTCAGTTTACTTTTGCTTTTTTTTGAACATCAATCAAATACATTTACAACAAAATGAGTACATTTATACTATTGTTATATCCATATTTTTTGTCACAAGGTAATGAAGGATTTCCTCCATAAATGTGGACAAACCCTAACTAATTATTTACTTCATCATTTAATATCATCAGTCAGTTAAGTAATTCAGAACAAAAACTAACAAATATAATGTAAATAAATAACATATAATACAAATATATAACTTTTTTGTAATACACAGTATAAAACACATTATTGCCATTTCTTCTGAAGATAATTTCTTGGGCGTAATGTGCCTTTAAGAGATGCAAAAAGTATACCCATACAAACAAACTTTATTACTGAGCAGTAGAGCTGGAAATAAACAATTGTTATGAGAAATAAGAAAGAAACAATTGTTTGAGTATATTGTATACAAATGTCATTGATATATAGCCTGTTGTCATGGCCAGCTGGCTGACATTTTTCCTTTATTTGGCATTTTAAAGAGATTAGTGTATACAAAATGACATTTTAATATGAAAAAAATGCAGTGGAAGGTGGTTAAAACATTTTGTATTCTATTAACAAATAACTAGCAATGCAACAAACACTTACTTTAAAATGATTGAAAAATGTAAGCCATATTATAAGTCATTGATTAAGCTTTGTTAAAATATTTGCTTGATTTAATGATACTATTATAATCACTATCACTACAATCAAAAACATGAAATTGGTATGAAAATAGAAAAAAATGTTTATTGTCAATTCAATAGCAAGCAAAGTACAAAGAAAAATGAAAAACCCATACTCCATGATAGTGCTTAAATGGCCCTATTAATTTATGTAAGAATTAATAAGTTGATATTCTTCTTGACCAGTGTTTATTGTGTCTGGTTTATATCTTCTTTTTAAATTAACTTTATATGAGTTACAACAGTTTCACACCAAGGCCTGAATATATTTCGCAGAATGTCAGTTTAATTCATAAATCTTTGTGCAGGTACTCAAAACGAGGTGTTCAATATATTTAAATACAAGGAAAGAGTAAAAAAAGATTATTTAATCTCCTATTTTAAATACAGTTTAGATAGTTTAAAACATACAAAATTACTGTCTTTAGCTTGATTGTGAAACAAGAGGCTTGAGCAAGAAACTTTACATTCATTGCTTAGTACTGGTTGATTTGAGAGTGTTTCAATAAGCTTATAGCCCTAATACAAGCAAACTAAAATAAATTTGTATAAACTAAGAGGCTTGCAAAATAACTTTTATCAATCACTTTTGAGACTGGTTTTTGGAACTAATCAGTACTGGTGTCTTTTAGGAAAATGGCTGCGTTTCATAGAAGTCTAAAGTGTAGCCTAAGTCCTAGGACATAAAACTAACTTTAGACCTAACTTGAAACCATTTCAATAAAAAAATTTACAGCCCATGATAATTTATTGTGACCCAATAAAGGCTTGAACTAATGATCAAAGGGGGAATTAGTATATCATTGGAAAGGTGCAAATGTTCCGGGGGGGGGGGGGGGGGTTACAATGTTTAATAATTGTATACATTACATAAGATAATTTACATATAGATTTGCCTTGCAATTTTATAAATGCCTCATGTGGGGGAAATAAATTTATACATAGATGACACATCAATAACTTTTGTTAATCTGAACGACATTGGCATTGTTGAAAAGGTCACAGCTTGATCTTATCTCCGGTTTTGTCCATTTTCACACATGACCATTCATATTTTATCAATTTATGAAATTTTGGAGTATAGTTGAAAACTGGCCAATAGCTCACTTTTCTGGCCAGTACTTAGCTAATCTACAAGTCAATTGGAGGAAAAGGCATTTTGGAGGTAAAGAATATTGTTGTGTAATATATTATTGTGTGTTGATTTAACTCAAGATATGGGTATGTGTAGTCTTTGTTGAATATAAAAAACAAACAAAGAGAGTTAGATGGAGAATTCAACCATGTACAGTGAAACTAATATCCAACTTTCCTATGTAACTTACTAAGGCCCATATGCAAAAGTGCTTCATTGATATCAGCCTATGTAGGCCGATGAAGTGGAAAAAAAAAAAACAAAAAACAAAAAAAAACAACAACAGAAAACGATTCATGCGTGATTTAAATCATTATATCGTAGTTTGTATATATTTGTTATGTTATTTTCGTACTGAACAACATTTATATTTAATCACGTACAGACTACGGTAAATAGTTGCGCTCAAGTCAACCGTAACGCACCTGTGGGAAGTTCATTGGATCATTGATTTTCATCCGGGTATTAGCGCGTGTAAAAAGTCAACAGCACTAGAAAATCGACAACACAAATTTCGGGTAGAACTAAACATAGGTGAAGTAAATAGATTTTCGGATGACAAATTTGTTTTTCATATAAATTGACATTTTGTATATGCCATGTTTAAATGATTGACATAAACAACAATTTGTGATTCACACAAATTTTCACAGTTTTTCTTTAAAATTAAAATGCATGTCAATGGAATGACTGTTATTTCTAACGGTTTAGGAATGGGAACTTTTCAAGTAATCGGTGTTCAATCTTACCCACAAAAGATGGTACAAGCGGACAATATTTCAGAGATGAAGGTTTTAGCAGTAAAAAATGATGTTACAGAATCTTCCACGGAAGCTAACAAAGAAAACGAGGTATATTTTTTTTACCATAAACAGTGATAAACTGAAAGTAGATCTTCAGTATAGTGACAGTTTATTGTTCACCTGTTTTACTGTAAAATGGTTGTGTTTGAGTGTGTGACATTATTGGTTCAAAATGCTAAAATTCTGTAATATCCAAATATAAAAGGTAATTGCACTTAATTTGTGTTGAAATATTTGAGATGTCAAATGATACTGTACTGGTTATATATGTCTCAATACTGCTGTAAAATGGTTCCATATTGTGTTTACTGACTTATGGCAGTAGATCTACCCAGTAATAGAATCTCACCTCTAAGGGAAGATATTGCAAAAAAAATAGCCCAATATTTCATCGTGTAGACTAAGTCTAGCATTGCGAAAGGTTTGGGAGAAAAAAAGGGAGAACATCTACATTATGAAATGATTCCTGGGAAGAATCATTGACAAAGATCTGTTGAGACCTCTTTTAACAATTGTAATATACAATATTTATAAATGTTTAAGGTGTCATCTCAAATATAAAAGTAAAAATCAACACAATTTTGATAGGCATTGCTCATCTTATAAAGAGATTTAAGAATTTAATTTGTCTTTGTTATTTAACTGTCTGGTTTCATCAATGTTTATAAGGACAACAATATTCATATAGCAAACATTAATGTTTGCTAAATGACACACTCGGTAAAAAGGCGTGATTACACTGAATGATAAAAGTCTGTAGAAAATGACCATCTGTCAACCTGACTGGGTAATGTTTTATGTTGAGCTAGAGGGGTAATTTACACTTTGAAAAATGGTACAGAGTTTGTTCACTGACAACTGAATTACAAACATTTCTACCATTTTCTGTTTATTAATGCAGTGTTTGGATGAGCTTTGTGTATAAATCGTAATTATTGATGTTACTTGACAATACTTGTAATAAGGTTAGTTCCTATAGTTATTAATAATTCATAGTTATGTTCATACTGTGTAACTTTTCAATATATTAATTTAATTATCTAATAAAGATAGGGGTGTTCAGAACATTAAACAGTTGTAGAAGTATTCTTAAATATATGAATTTGGTCTGCTTCTGTCTAATATTTATTTATGCCTTAAATAAAAGATTATAAGATTATTGTAACACTATTAATATACAGACATATTTATGCATCAAGTGTTCTGTTCAGTTAGGGCATCATTTCAGTTTCTTTGTTAGAGGCGGCATTTCTACACCTAAATTTTTTTAAGGTTATGTTTATTTTAAGTTAACATGATCTTGTTTCGTTCATTTTCTGTACAGCAAAACAAAAGCATGCTTTCCGCTAAAATACATGGAAAGGTGGCTAGGAAGGGTTTATAGGAACAAGATTAAACACAATTCTTAACATTGAAATGCACTTTTTTATGTTGGTGTTTAAACATCATTATTGTCATGTAATATTACTATTGAGTAGTTTTTTGCCACTTCTAGTTTGCAAATAATAGGTCTCAATGGCACTAAAGGGTAGTGATCTCTGGTTTCCCTTCGTTCTTTGTCTAAATGGATAAAGATAAAAAATCAAGACTTTTTTTGTTCGATTAATCTAGGTAGCATTTATTTTCTAAAAATGCTTTTGCTATCTCAATAACAAGTTATGTATAAAGAAATGAAAAAATGAACTCATCAATATAAATCAGGCTTGTATTTTAAACAAATTAAAGAGATTGTTATTCCTGGTGCAGTATTTGCTTACAGTTCTTGTTTGAAAACAATTTTCAGTCAGTGCAGAAATGGTCTTAAAAATTAAGCACCAGTTTTTGCAAAGTAAAGAAATATAATGATGATTCTTGCTTCTATGTTTAATGAGGATCCATCTGCCTGTTAAGGTACAAAAAGCTCACACACAGTACCCTTCCTCATTGTCCCAGCCTACTCTGTCAGGCTTCTCCCCTAGGCTTCAGTGAGGACATTGGCAGCTGGTTTTGTAGAATTCATGTAGCTTAAACCCCCTAATGCAATGTTGTAGTAGTTTGACCTCTAGAATCTCCCCTCAATGTACAGAAACAGTGCTAGGATCATAACCTATCAGTGTGTCCTTGGTGAAGCAAAGCTGACCAGGCTTCAAATCTTCTGCAAATGCCATTCATCTCTGCTTGCATGTACTGATAGGGGAGCCACAAATGATAGAGAGTTCAAAACTTAATAGTTTTCCATCATGCCAGCAAATTGAAGAATCTGTGAGAGTAGGAGTTTATATTAGTGTTAAGACTTCCATTCAAGGTCTATGTCACTGGCAAGAATCTATGGGCTATTTCAGTTGGCTCTTTCTTTGAAGAGTTTTTACAAGACCCAGACTGTGTCATAGGAAAAGTATAAGTTATTCTAAATCTTATACCATCTATCATTTCTGTTAAGATCTTGTTTAAACCAATGAAACCTTGTTAAGCATAAGACTTGTAAACATGATAATTCAGGCTCAGAGTTTTAATGTTCAAACTAATCTAATAATTGTTTAATTGAACAACATGTTATAGCTTGATGAATTAAAATGCCAGAAAGTTACCCATATTACACGAATATTTCATGTCCAGTTGAAAGCCCCTGTATCAAAATGTAATAAAAACTCAATCTTCAGATATCAATGGCTTAGAAAGCAATAAACTTTGTCAAACAATTTAAGAAAGTCTCCGTGCAAAGGTATATTTATTCATAAACACGAACAAACTTTCTATTCTTTTCTGTGTTTGGGAAAATTTAATTGTTTTCAAACTACATTTAACTTTATAACAATGAACAATTATTTTGTTGTAACTTTTCATTATAAGAGTGGCGATAGATGTTAAGCGATACCCTTTTTATTTCATCTGTCAAAAGAACAAAATCTTGGTATACACAAGTTTATTTACATGCTGAGATATGTAATCGAAGCCTGCCACATTAGAAGCAGAACTGCTATGGAATATGGTAATAGAAACGCTGTTAGTGGGCTCGTTCAAATATTTGACTTTGTTAAGAATTGTTGATTTTAATAACCCATTGTACTTACAACAAGATTGCTTGCTCGATCAATTACGATTGTTTGCTATACTTTGATATGATTTTGAGATCTTAATCGGTCATTGTGTACATTATTTTATTACCTTATAGTTAAAATAGTCCGTAATTTATATAATTTGATACTAAAACGTTATTTTAGACTTGGGTCTTTTGATGTTAGTACGACTGTTATGTTATTGTGTATTAGCTATAGTTTGAGAATTAATTACACCAAGCATTTCAATGCTGACAAAATTAGAACAAATCCATAATAAATTGTTTAAAAAATACAGATTTCATTTTACTAAACAAAGAGAGAGCCCCTTTTTCCCCCAGCTATTGTTTTAATATCATTTTGAATAATGTTCTTTGTGTAGGAGTTTTTGAAAATAATTGGACAAGTTTTTCTTAAAATTAACAACATAATTTGTTGTGAAGTAGTACAGTGGTTAAAAGGATGTTTTTTTGTATAGATGATTGCTGTGTAAATAAATAAAATCCTGGTTTAGTGTTTAAGAATCCTTAATTATCTCACCTAAACCGGACAAATGTTTTTACTATTTATAGAGACAAAGGCTATAAAAAGATATTTAAAGAATAAGGTCTGAAAAGAATATTTTAAATTCTATTAGTACAAATAATATTATCAAAATTTTGCCTAATCACTTAAGTATCATCTTGTTATATATAAAAATGAGATTGTAAAAACCTTGTTTTCAAATCTGTTTCTATTTAAATGAAACTTAAAATCTGTACAAACTGATAATATTGACTTGGCTTTGTGTAATCTTATTGTAGTTTGACGCAGGATTTTTCATAAAATGGGCTTTTACAACTTGTTTGACTTTCCTTTCTGTCGCTCTGTCTCTCCTTATCTCAAGTCTTATTTAGTCAACTAATCCATCAGCTCTTGATTATATTTATTTTGAATATTCTCTTTTCTTTTCTTTCGACCTGAAGTTCTAAAACAAGTTACGAGTTCTTTATGTAAAATCATAGAGACAGTGTCACCTTAACTGATAAGAATTTTTCTTTTTAGTATTTACAGAAGGTTAGCAACTTTCATTTTCACATAAGTTATTAAATCTTGATTTATTTTAATATCTTCTTAAAGTAAGATATTTGTTAGTTAATGCCAAATATGTGCATCAGTAAGAACATCATTTTAGTCTTAAATGTCACTCCCTGATTTTAGATTTGACACACTTTGATTTTGAAGCGTTATATGACATATTTCTGAAATGTCCTAGTCCTAAATTGTGTGTATTTTAATGTTGTTTTAATATAACTAATAAACCTCGATGTTTGATATAGTAAATATTTGCTCGTAGCAACCTCTATGTCCACATGTTTATGACGGATCGGAAAGTTAATAAATTATTCTGGAGCCATTAAAGTATACATTGGTAACGCAAATGTACTGTACAACTCTCACATACTTGTAAACCGAACTTTTTTTTTCCAAAATAAAAAAAGCTAACATGGTAACTTACTATAAGGTGCTTTACAGTATGCTGAGATGATGTGTGTTTTTTGATAAATATTTATATCTCATAAAGCAATTTTGATGGGTTTATTAAGATCATACATATGATAGCAATGTCATCTCACCAAAATCATCATTTGTACAGTATTTTGTGTCTAAATACGGCAGATTTTATATATTGGACCGATGTTTGCCGTCACAAAAGATGGCTTTAAAGTCATTATCTTTGTTTATCTTGAATTTACTTTCAAAAATTTTAAATGCTATTTGTAGCTTTGGTGCATAATAACTCTGATTGTACCGCTGGGTTGTTTCATCAATGTCTGATCAGTTATATCTTGATACCGGTTAATGGAAAAATATTTTAATTTCAAAATATTGTCGTGTTCCTCTTAAATACCACACTGAGTCATTTATAACATACATCTTTAACGATAATCACATTAGTCTGACATATAAAAGACATAGATTATAACTGTATCAGTGATGTATTGTCTTTAATCTATACAAATGCAAGCATTG